TCTGCGGCTACAAATATATATATATATATATATATATATATATATATATATATAAACAGTCACAATAAAAAAAAAAAAACAAGGAAATAACCAGCTTTAATATAATAACAATAATAATTTTGTAAATTAAAAATTAAAAATTATAGCAATCTTCAACTACCATAATTTTACACAGAATACCTATTATCAGGATTTATAACAAAATAAATTAATCCATATAACAAAATAAAATAAAATAAAATAAAACACCAACAACCACTTTTTAGTTCAAGCTACCACCACTATAACTACATTCATGGTTTTATCATTCTCCCACCACCGTTACTAATCATTTCTACCAATTTACAATTTCTACCAATTTGCAATAACTATTAGCTAATTATATTATCACTGTCTCCAACCCCTTGCAACATTACTATCACATCATATCATATAGACCCGTTATTAAATTAAACTATCCTCTCACCCAGCACATTAAATATTAAACATCACCATATAAATTAAGGATTAAAAATTTCTATCTGTTACATATACACAGTCACCAAAAACAAACAAATAACCAGCTTTAAATATAACAAATAAACCCCCATTTTTTTCAAAAATTAAAAAAAAAATATAAATAATAATAATTTTTACCTATCATAATTTTACACAGACCCCACCACACGTATATACATACATGCGAGGAAATATTATTCAGCGGAAAAATAAAAAAAATATGACATGTATACATTCACGAGACATTCACGAGACATTTCCGCCACACTTCCAATCTTTAAATTTCAACATTTCAACATACAAATGCGTATGTATAGACACAACACCACCCGTATACATACATATGTCATATCCGAAACTGCCCACATATGTTTATATATGTATGAGTCCCGACGGACGACCAAGTATGTATATGTGTCTGCATACATCGATGTTTGCGTTAGTACGATGACGTAAGCTACGAAGTTTCCCCCACCACTTCCACGATAACACCAATACACACAATCTATATAAACCCAAATATTTTTAAAAATTAATCAGTTTGTCTGACGATCGCTAAAGCGTGAAACCCAGGGTCACAAACTCACATCTATCCAACCAAATATGTTAGCTCTATTTCTGATATTGCGCGCTTTCTAATAAGTACCGCGCATATAATATATAAATAATTATACATATATATATTTATTTATATTTATATACACTTTTCACACACACACACACACACACACACACACACACGCATATATATATATATATATATATATATATATATATATATATATATATGCACATTTCATTGAATACATCAGACAAGGTGCTTTTATTTAGTTTTTTATACAATTTCTTGTGTTTCGTAATAATTTTTTTTTCAGATGATAAATTATATAAAAACTATCCGAACGTTGTTTTTATCCGAACGCTTTCGGCTATACATTTAGCCATTTTCAAAGATGAAATATTTTAACTGTTAAATAAGAAATAGTTTGTTGTATGTATGTATTTATATAGTCTTTTCAAAACACGGTCAAGATATTGTGTCCATGTTTATAGTTGACATTATTATTATTATTATTATTACAGTGTAACCCGGATATAAGAGACCCGGATATAAGAGAAACCCGGATATAAGAGAGATTTTCTCTGGCCCCAAAGTGTTCCCATACTTACCTAAACAAAATAGACCAAACCCGGATATAAGAGAAACCCGGATATAAGAGACTCCTTCTCCGGTCCCGACAACTCTCTTACATCCGGGTTACACTGTATTATTATTATTATTATTATCTGTGGCCCAATCGGTTAAGGCACGTCAGGCTATATGACGGTTCCGTATAGGATACAGGTTCGATTTCTTTCGGAGGACGAATAATTTCTATCAAAATTTCTCAGACATTCAGGCCGGTAAATGTTTAATACCGTTTATTATAAACAGAGCATTCACTTAAATATGTGTATCTATAAAAAAGAATGTATAAACATAAGAAATGTCTTATATATATATATATATATATATATATATATATATATAACTCTCAAACTGACCAGGGAATTCAGAGAAGCATAGATCCATCCAGCTCTTATCTCAAATAACAACTTAAAAGAGACTGTTTGACCAACACAAGGAATGTTAAAAGATTCATGTTAAAAAGATTTAAAAAAATAAAAAAACAAATGAAAACTACAGCTAAAAGTTCATTTTTTCCATCAAGACATTCATTTCTGTAGTTTACTGCTACCAGCAAGCAGAAATATTTCCTCTCCTGATGATGGCCATTTTGGCCGAAACTAGTCGAGGAATCTAAATGAAATAATAATAAAAAAAAAACGAAAGAATATTAATCTACAACCCAGTGTGTATGAAGATTTTAATTTTTTAATATTTTTTTATTGTTCAAAATATATATATATATATATAAAATTTTAAAAAATCCAGACGACATGCATTTAATGGATGTTAGATTTCATTGAAAAATACATCCCTACCCCTACCAAAACGTAACTAATAACGGATACATCAAAATACAGACATAAAGAAACACCCAGACACCCCTTGTCTGGTTGAAGTGGATTATCTGTAACCTTGGAAACGTAAATTATGATTTTAGCTGTGTCTTTAAAACCCAGT